TCAGGCCTGGAATAAGTAGAGTTACCAAAGATATAGTTATTTGGTTACTAATTATTCCACCTAAATTCATTTTCTAATTGAATAAGTCTACAAAATGAAATACGGTTTTTTTTCATTACATAACCCAATCATTTGTCTTGCAAATCACTTTTGCAAGTTTTAACAAAGATCAACTGATTGATCCAGCCAAATGCTATACGATCTACACCATTCGACGCAGAATTTGATACTGATTCCGAATATGTATTCAGTTTTTGCTAAATGACAATCTGCCAGGAGTTATAAGCGTCTAAAGTTTTGCTTTGTTTTGTTTTGTTAGGAATGTGATCATTTGGGTCTTAGTGACCTATTTGCGGCACATTCTGTCAAGCCGTGGCCGTGGTACAGCATTCGTTTCCAGAACGAGACCCCACAAGTTCGATCTCCACCTAGGATTTTTCTTTTGCTTTTTCAGAGTCCTAACAAAACTTTAGACGCGATAACTCCTGGCAGATTGTCATTTAGCAAAATACAGTGACAACATTGCAAATGCGCGCCTGGGACACATGAGCCGAACGATGAACGCAACATCAGCAACCAGAGCCACAGCTTCACGCGGCAAAAGTAACTTCTATGTTGCGAGGATGTTCATCAAGCAAAATGACGCAGACGGCTTCACCTGCAGAATCTGCCCCTTCACCTGCAGAATCTGCCCCTTCACCTGCAGAATCTTCTACTCCGCGAAATCCGGTCATCTTCACGATCAGTTAACTCTTCACATCTAAAAGCACTGAAACTTGTTAGAAAAGTGCTCGCACTGGAATCCGTTCAAGAAAGAGAAACATTGAAAGTGATTGTCCGAGTGGTAAATGACAGCACAATCCGAATGTTAATTATTGTTGAATGGCTCGCATAATATTTGACCGGCTCAACCAGTTGATCTTCTCTTGTTAGTATATCGTACTTATGAATAGCTATGTAGTGGCTTAATCTAGCTAGATCCGCTTTGAAACAGCTTTAATCTTTGCGGATATCTGTTGACCTGACTTAGCTCGGTTTTCGTGTCTTGGCCGAATCCAAAAGTAAAGAATAGATTAAAAACGGCATTTTAACTGGCTAGAATAACCGGCTACCGTATTCTCTCTAATAGTCGTGCACCTTAAGCTTTGCCTCAATTCCTCGAAATCTCGAAACCGGTTTATCAGAACCTATCGATGTGGGGTCGGAAAATGTAGCTGACGATGAGATCTTGTAGCTGATTTGAGTGTTGAGCTTCTGCGAAAGCTTGGAAACCGTAAAATAGTCATCAACTCGACTCTACTATTAGAGAGAAACGGTAAGTTCGGTAAGCCAGTTCGGTAAGCCAGTTCGGTAAGCCAGTTCGGTAAGTTCAAGCCTGATTTCTGGTCTATTTTTGGTTTCATTTGATTAGGTGGTTGGCTTTGCAGCGACCTTGGCAACCTTGGCTTAGCTCATTCATAATCAGCATTCATAATCTACTATTAGAGATTCAAAATCTACTACTTTTAGAGAGAAGACGGTATGTAAAAATTTCAATTTCAGATTCCACGAAACACATTAAACCGTTACCCCGCAGATCAAGGCCTACGATCAAGGCTAGATCAAGGCTAGATCAAGGCTAGATCAAGGCTAGATCAAGGCTAGATCAAGGCTAGATCAAGGCTAGATCAAGGCTAGATCCAGGCTAGATCCAGGCTAGTTCAAGGCTAGATCAAGGCTAGATCAAGGCTAGATCAAGGCTAGATCAAGGCTAGATCCAGGCTAGATCCAGGCTAGTTCAAGGCTAGATCAAGGCTAGATCAAGGCTAGATCAAGGCTAGATCAAGGCTAGATCAAGGCTAGATCAAGGCTAGATCAAGGCTAGATCAAGGCTAGATCAAGGCTAGATCAAGGCTAGATCAAGGCTAGAACAAGGCTAGACCAAGGCTAGATCAAGGCTAGATCAAGGCTAGATCAAGGCTAGATCAAGGCCTACGATGTGTGTTTCCCAGATCTTCAGGAAGATCTCTTCTCGATTTGAAGGCCGAAATGGAGAAATGGAGAGATTGGAGGTCTACTCTTAAAGCTACCGTATTCTCTCTAATCACCTTAAGCTTTGCCTCAATTCCTCGAAATCTCAAAACCGGTTTATCAGAACAGAATGTGGGGTCGGAAAATGTAGCTAAAGATGAGATCTTGTAGCTGATTTGAGTGTTGAGCTTCTGTGAAAATTTCAAAAGCGTAAAATCGTCATCAACTCGGCTCGGCCGGGTGAACTACTCTTAGAGAGAATACGGAAATTAAAAGCAATGCCAAAAGAAACAACAAAGCTGAAAGCTGCAACTGATAAGATGAAAGCTGCAACTCAAAACTGAAACAGACTATGCCCATCTTTCTCTTTCCACAGAAATCTCTTGTGTTTGATTATTTGTGAACATTCACTCACACACACACACACATTGTTGAACCTTTTCCCGCTTATCCAATCAGAGTCACAGAAAAACCGGTTGAGCCACGTGTGAACGAGGGTGTCAACAAAACTTGGAGCACTCCAAAAGCGTGAACCTAAGCTATTAAGCAAAAACTAGTAAGCAAAAACTATTAAGCATAAACTATTTGTGTTAAGAATTTTATTGAAAACGAAAGTTTTACAATACAAAACATATCATTTAACAAATTTGAATTAGATTTTTACTTTTAAAGTGTCAAATTGAGTGTAGATTCAAGTCCAGAACGGGTACAAAGGTACATTTCTTCTTGTTCAGAAAGTTCAGAACTGGTCTAGATTTCTTCTTGAAAAGGCAAACTTGAAGCCAAAAAAGAGAGTACAAAGAATTTATTGTTCTTTTGCACCTATTTTCTGGAAGGATTGAGCAAAAAAAAAGCCAAAATCCAAGGCTAGCCAAGGTAAAGCAAAGCCAGAAGTTCGGCTTGGCTTCAAAGATTGACTCTCGATTCAGCTCTGTTTCCTAGAAAATCAATTTAATACTTTTCCATTTTTGTTTATTTCTTTTGCATCTTTGTTTGTTTGTTTCTTTTTTTTTGTTTTGTGTTTCTTAAATCTTTGTTAAAAGAAAATTCTTCTTTCGCATTTGAATTTATCATTGAATTTTAGAATCCAAAGAATCCAGATATCCAAAGAAATTATTTAAAATTAAAGAAATTTTCGCATTAAGCTCCACTCAAACACCTGTTTTGAACCGAATTTTGAGAAAGAAACAAGGATTTGATCTCAAAAAAGGGGATCTGAATTGGATTCGATTCTCGCTAGGCAACTCTCGCTAGGCAATTCTCGCTAGGCAATTCTCGCTAGGCAACTCTCGCTAGGCAACTCTCGCTAGGGCCAAATCATCGGCAGTTATTGGATCTCCAGCTTTCTCTCACAATTAGTTCTTTTTTTCCTTTTGTGTCTGTAGTGATTATTGTTGGTTTAGATATAATCTTTATTACAGCAATAATAGTTGGTTCAGTGGTTTGGGATTGGGAGAGTAGAGACGACTCCACGGCACCTGTCGGCAGCTCATTCACATTGCTTTTATACGGAACTCAAGCGTTGGTCTCGTCTTGCACACAATGGAGTTGAACGGATAGCGACGCATATTAAATCTCGCACAAAAGGTGTTCGTTCACATAGGTGCCTAGCTGGTCATTTTCATATTCATTTCCATTTCCGGGCGATCTCGATCACGAGATCGTCACAACAGTGTCTCTTTTCCCTTTACGGATTTCAAAAGGAAAGCTTCTTATACCAGAGTCGTATGCTAGATCGAGAACGGTTACACAGAGAACAACAGTGATTCTCGCCAGTCGCTTTCAACAGTGATTCTTGTTCTGTAAATCTTTTCAAATGTGTTTCCAATTTTGTTTAATATTTGTGATCCGACGTTTTTTTTCGGTTATAAAACCTATTGATGAAGTCTATTTTAACCGTTTGTCTCAAGAAAATTCTCCGGAGAATCAAATTGGCTTTGGGTTTTACATAGCTTTTTATAGCTCATTGTTAACTAAACTTGCTCTTTTTATAATGAGCAAGTTTAGTTCACAATGAGGTTCACAAAAAGCAGTTATAGCTTTTCACGACCTGTATTCCCGAGAGTGTGGTGCTCTTCATCTGAACATTGATTTGTAGTGCTCTTCATCTGCACATTGGTTTTTGGTGCTCTTCATCTGAACATTGATTTGTAGTGCTCTTCATCTGAACATTGGTTTTTGGTGCTCTTCATCTGAACATTGATTTGTAGTGCTCTTCATCTGCACATTGGTTTTTGGTGCTCTTCATCTGAACATTGATTTGTGGTGCTCTTCGTTAGTTCGTCGTCGCTCTTCAATGCTTGTAATGCTCTTCAATGCTTGTAATGCTCTTCAATCAGCTAAACTTTCAATTTTCTGCTTATTTCTAAAGAATAGAATTTATTCTAAAGCTTAAGTAGACAAATCAACGTTAAAACTATAATATATTTAAAGAAAATAAGCCAGAAATTCACAGATCAACGTTTCTATTCGTTTTTACGTTGACAATCAATGAAAATCGTTGCTAGAACGTTGCTAGAACGTTTCGAGAAAGATTATTTGAAAAGATTTTGCATAAATATCAGTAAGGAATAAGGAACTTTAAAAGAATTAAATAGGAACTATAAAGGAACTGTAAAGGAGCTATAAAGGAGCTATAAAGGAGCTATAAAAGAGCTATAAAGGAGCTATAAAGGAACTATAAAGGAACTATAAAGGAAAAGGTTCCTTGTCTCTCTAAACTTGTTTCCTTATCTCTAAATCTGGTTCCTTATCTCTAAATCTGATTCCTTATCTCTCCAAATTTGGTTCCTTATCTCTGTACTGCCTATTTGGTTCTTATTTGGTTCCTATTTGGTTCCTATTTGCATTCAATGCAATAAATTGTATTTCTTTACAATAAAATTGTATTTCTTTACAATAAAATTGTATTTCTTTATAATAAAATTGTATTTCTTTATAATAAAATTGTATTTCTTTCTTTTCTTCTTTATTTACAATAATTTTCTTCATTTCCCTCTCATTCCACAGTCGCCAAAAGCACAAGAAACGCCGATTCGTGAAACCATTCGTGGAATCGATTGTTGTTCTTGGATCTGAACATTTTTTTTGATTAAGATCAAGTTTTTCCAAAAATCTCTTAAGCTTTTTGTGTTCAAATTCTTTTTACCGTATAGACTAATTGCCCAAATCCATCAATAAACGCTTGTGTTTCCCCCATTTTCTGCGAATCCATATCAAAAACCTAAAAACAAAAGAATTTCTCTTAATTTCTTGAAAATCTCTGAAAAAAATCTAAAGTTTATCTAAAAATAAAGTAATTAAACGATTTTTGGATTGATTTTTCATGAAAATACTTCATTTTCTAGATGTAGAAACGAAGAAAACAATCAAATAAAATCAACAATCAAAAAACAAACCCGCAAAAGTGTTGGCTTCTTTGCGCAATTGTCGTGATTGATCGTGAAATTCTCCATGTCATCTTTTTCGATAAGGACAAAGCTAAAGAGTTGATCGTAAACAGAAAGTCGAGTTTATTTTGGTTAATTGATCTACTTGAAATCCCGACCAAACCATATCCAACCCTAGCTATTCATTTTTTCGTTTTTTTTTTAAACTCAAACCTACCGATGTTTCGTTTTATTCGAGAACATTGCCACCACTTCCACCGGCTCATCGCTTCTCGTCGTCACATGCACTTTAATATTGCACAGGAAACCCCCACAGGCACAAACAAATAAAAGAATCAATGAGAATATTAGCTTATTCATTTTTTTAAATCCAATAAAATGATGTGATTGAGAACTTTTTTGGATCAATCACATCAAAATCGTTGTCCCTTTCGAAAATCTTTGTTTTGAGATCAAAATCGTTGTTTCTTTGTCCCTATCCCCAAAATCTTTGTCCGAATTGGGTCAACGAAAGCTGATGATGGATCTTTGTGCGGAAATTTGTTTATAAAAATGATTTATTTGCAAATAAATATAGAATTTCTTAAAGTCTCTAAGCAAAATTCTTTCGAATGATTGTCCCGGGTAAAACTGATTGATTTTCACGATGATTGTCGATATGAAATGAATAGAGAATGGACATCTAAAAACGTTGAAATCTCATATTTTCTCTAGTTTTAATGGGGAAAGTTCAGGCTTTCAAATGATCTACTATATATAAAAGAGCTGTGTCGGTCTGTTTGTCTGTTTGCCCGTCCGTCTGTTTGTCGGTCCGTCTGTCTGTCTATCTGTCTGTCTGTCTGTCCGTCTGTTTGCCCGTCCGTCTATCTGTCTGTCTGTCTGTTTGTCTGTCTGTTTGTCTGTCTGTTTGTCTGTCTATCTGTCTGTCTGTTTGTCTGTTTGTCTGTCTATCTGTTTGTCTATCTGTCTATCTGTCTGTCTGTTTGTCTGTCTGTCTGTTTGTCTGTCCGTACTTCCGTCTGTCCGCCCGTCTCTCTGTCTGTCCGTCTGTCTGTCTGTCTGTTTGTCTGTCTGTCTGTCTGTCTGTCTGTGGGCTACTCCTCATCCACCGGGCCGTTTCAAATAACTTCTAGCTAGTTTGGCTCAAAAATTTCATCTAGAATTCCATCATGTTTTTAAATCTTTAAAAAACCAAAATTGCCGACACGAACGGGAGTCGAACCCGGGTTTGGTGGGCTATAGACAAATGCGCTGACACTGCGTTATCTACTGGCTGAGTGGTTAACGCGCGCGTCTCTCAAACGATCGGAAGAGAGAGGTGGCGGGTTCGACTTCTTTTGCTGCCAATTCGTTTGCTTTTTTCTGCAAATCAGCAATGAGGCCGCTGGTATTAAATAGAGCTCGATTGGTGCACGCAATCTTAAGAAATTCAGGAGAAAAAACGCTCAAATCAGATGGCAAGGTTCGCAAAAAATCCAGTTTATCTGGAATCCGGTTTTCGACAGTTTTTTGTCAAGAAGATTTTGCGAATAGTGTGCCAGAAAGGGTGTGTTTCCAAATTATCAATTCAATATCATTGCTTTCGATCAACCTGTTGCACGGAAACGGTAATCGGATATCTCATCACCGTCCAATCGACACAAGTATTGTAATCACCGGTTGTCAGACTTCCAGTGTAAGTAAAGAATTGGCTTCTACCTGAAAAGAAACATTTCAAGAACCAAAACAAACGACTCAAAACCAAACGACTCAAAACCAAACCAGGAATCAGCTTTCGATAGTTGAAGTTAACTCCATTGACTGTGTGTGCTCCAGCAACCGAATCTTGTGCATCTCCCTTCTTTATCGCATTCAGAATCTTGTCGAACTCGGCATTTCTTTTGCCAAGCTGAAAACGAAATAATAAAGTCATTTCTTTAGCTTTAAATCTCTATTAGAATCCTTATATCCTTTTGTAATGCAAAAATCCATTGAAATTTGAACGAACCTCAGCCAGCACGGCAATCACCGCAATCCCATTCTCTTTTCCGACCGCATTGTCGAAAGTTCCATACTCGGGATCGAAATGAACAAAGTGAAACTGAAAAATAAGCGTTTTTTTCTTTGTAAACAATCTTGCACAACAATTTCCACAACAATTTCCACAACAACTTCCACAACAACTTCCACAACAACTTCCACAACAACTTCCACAACAGGTTCCACAACAGGTTCCACAACCTCGGCCACATATCTCTGTCCATCCACAGTGTGCTCGCTTCCATTTGCACCTAGATGACTCCAATGAGCGTGCATCTAAAGCATTTCTGGTTTTATGAAACTTTTTAAGGCCAATAGAGGATTTTTTTTGAAAAACAATTTAGAAATCTGAAATCTGGATAATCTAGATGATCTAGAGATCTAGATTTTGACTAGAAAACATTATTTAAACATAAAACCTTCTCATCCAGTACAAAGATCTCTTTGGAAACAGTAAACAGTGAAATTACGACTCGCTAACTTTTTAGACTCATAAGTTTTGCCCTTCAGCCTCTAACAACCTAAAATTATGCTATTTGTCTAGAAAAAATCAAAAAGAATAGAATTACTTTTGGATGACTACGTTTAACTAGAAATTTCAGAAAATTTCGATGATTTTTGGGAGACATTTAAGCGGCCAGGCATCTGGGTTGATTCTGGCTCAGGCTTAGGCTCAGGCTTAGGCTCAGGCTCAGGCTTAGGCTCAGGCTTAGGCTCAGGCTTAGGCTTAGGCTCAGGCTTAGGCTCAGGCTTAGGCTCAGGCTTAGGCTTAGGCTCAGGCTTAGGTTCAGGCTCAGGCTTAGTTTCAGACCATGTTGCCAATTAAAAGCCAACTTTTCAAATGCTAAATTTAACATAAACTTGCTAGAATTACAGACTTTTATAAGAAGATTAAGCATTGGATTTTTGTCCTCCGAAAAGCTGAATTTGACCGAAAAAAGAGGCTCTGAAATGACTTTTGTGGCTCTGAACTTTTGTGAATCTGAACTTTTATGTCACCAGGCTGTATCTGATGTCCCAAAATTATAGAGTGGATCCTGTTTTGGCAGATTTACCCATTTATCTTGTTCTTTTTCTTACTTATCGCTAAAATTCTTTTGTATTGCCTATTTTTTCGGGATGAAATCAGAATTGGAGATTTTGAGAGAAAAGCAGAAAAGCAATTTTTGAACCTTTTAGCAAGCAAGCAAATACCTTTTTTAAAGATTTTTCTAACTAAACTGATAAAGATGATTAATGTCAGCAGTAGATTATCAACAGATCATTAGCATTTTCATTAGATCATCGGTATCATCATTAGACTATCAGTATCATCATTAATATCATCATTAGATCATTAGTACCATTACTAGATCATCAGTATCATCTTTTGATCATCAGTAACATCATTAAGACCATCATTAGATCATCATTATATCATTTGTACCATTACTAGATCATCAGTATCATTCTTTGACCATCAGTAACATCATTAAGACCATCATTAGATCATCCTTATATCTTTAGGACCATTATTAGATCATCAGTATCATCATTAATATTGTCACTGTATCATTAATATCATCAGTAGATCATCAGTATCATCATTAGACTATCAGTATCATCATTAATATCATCATTATATCATTAGTACCATTATTAGATCACCAGTATCATCATTAATATCGTCACTGTATCATTAATATCATCAGTAGATCATCATTTGGTCATTAGTATCATCATTCGTCACTATCATCATTGAACAATCTCAATAACTCACTTGATATAAATTATACGTGACACCGTCTGTTTGAGTGGCTGAGAACTCTAAAGAGGCAACGTTTCTTACTAGGGAATGTTATTAACTTATCATGGCTTTTGGCTCGGGAATAGCCCTGATGCAGTTTTTCACTCTGATTCCGAATCGGCAATCAGTTTGAAGTTGATTCGAATGCTGATTCCGAATCAGCAATCCGAACACTTCTCTATCGCGAGATTTATGGCATACAAGTCTTTGGGAGCCACCGAGGCCGTTGATTGAAGACGTGAAGACGTAAAGACTGAAGACAGTGCGTCGCCCTCATAAAGAGACTTGTATGCCAAATATCTAGCGATAGAGAAGCGTTTAGCAAAAACTGATTGCAGATTCGGAATCAGAGTGAAAAACTGCATCAGATAGGCTATTTCCCGAGTTAAAAGCCACGATAAATTAACAACATTTCCTAATTAGTCAAAACGACACTTTTTTTTGAGGATAAAGTGAAACTTTAATCTCTCAAATCTCAAAAACTCTCAAAAATCTACTCGAGTTCGTGTACGGTGCTCGACTTTTAATAGTGAACGTTGTCGCATTGCCACCCTAAACTTTAGCATATTGGGTCAACCTTTTTTTTCCATTCTTACCCAGCTAATCGAATCCCCATCATTGGGCGCGTAGTTGATCGTGAAATCGATTAAATCGAGATCCCGAATAGCTCGCTGGGTGACGAGATTGATTGGAGAGTTTTGACGATCGGGTGACGCTGAAAAGGAAGCATTCATTGATTGGCTTTTAAATTCTTTTCATTTTCATCATTATTTCAAGATTTACCTGTATAACAAGATGCTGATTTCACGTTTTTTTCCGTGTAATTTAGCCCGTTCAACTGCCATCGACCGTTGCTTTGACACGAGAATGAACTAAAATGGTATCAGTGAAATTTCAAGACTAAGAATTCAAGATTTCAAGTCTAGGAATTGAAGGTTAAGGATTGAAGATTAAGAATTGAAGATTAGGAATTGAAGATTAAGAATTCGAGTCTAGGAATTCAAGACTAGGCATTCAAGACTAGGCATTCAAGATTTCAAGTCTAGGAATTCAAGTCTAGGAATTCAGGTTTAGGAATTCAAGTCTAGGAATTCAAGCCTAGGAATTCAAGTCTAGGAATTCAGGTTTAGGAATTCAAGTCTAGGAATTCAAGCCTAAGAATTCAAGTCTAGGAATTCTAGATTAAGAATTCTAGATTAAGAATTCTAGATTAAGAATTGAAGATTAAGAATTGAAGATTAAGAATTCAGGATTAAGAATTCAGGATTAAGAATTCAGGATTAAGAATTGGAGATTAAGAATTCAGGATTAAGAATTCAGGATTAAGAATTGAAGATTAAGAATTGGAGATTAAGAATTGAAGATTAAGATTTCAAGTCTAGGAATTCAGGATTAAGAATTGAATATTAAGAATTGAAGATTAAGATTTCAAGGTTAAGATTTCAAGATTAAGAATTCTAGATTAAGAATTCTAGATTAAGAATTCTGGATTAAGAATTCAAGATTAAGAATTCAAGATTTAAAAACACCATCATGTTGCCCGTGTCCGACTTGCGTAAGTCATCTAGCTGGACTCGTGAAATCTCACCGTTCCTTAGTGAAAAAGCTTTTAAACTCAATTCTACCCAAGTGTTGCCGCCTTCCTCGAGACTGAATGCCCATTCGAGAGCTCAAGAATGACACGAGAACCTGATGCACACGAGATTGTGACTTCTTGACAACCTGGAAAGCGGTGGAAAATGATTTTTCACCTTTTACTGGTGCAAGAACAACGAAATTGAATCTTAAACTATTCAATTTCATCCGTAGCTTTAAACAATTACCGTAAATACGTAAACAATTACGTAAATACTGTAATAGTACCATAGCCCCGCCCTCGTACAGTCGCGTATTCGCGTATTTTTTCGTATAAGTTTTTTCGTATTTCATTTTTTTCAAAGCCCCCTTACTTTCAAAAAATGCGTCTTTGGTATCAAAAAATAGCTGAAATTCAGGGCTATTTTTTGATACCAAAGATCATGACGGTGCGGAGTGTTGCGTAGTCTAACTTTGAACGAGTTTTTCTCGACACTGATTTATGCTACAATGCTCGTTTAAATATCAAAAAATAGCTGAAATTCAGGGCTATTTTTTGATATTTAAGCGCACATTGTAGCATAAACCAGTGTCGAGAAAAACTCGTCCAAAGCTAGACTACGCAACACTTCGCACCGTCATTATGGGGCTGGGGTACTATTCAAGTATTTACGGTAGGCAAGGTGGCCAAAAAAAAGGAGATTTTCTATATCAAAGCACTTATAACTCACTCAAAACGTCTGAAAAACCGACTAAGAAAAACTTTTAAACGTTGAATTTGTTTCTATTTTCATTTTCAAATTTCAAATTTTCACCAAACCATTGCTCACCGTTTCGATTTTGTCTCCGTGTGAAGGTGGTTTCAGTGCAAATATTGCACTCATTGATCAATGGACATTCCTCTGGGGTCAACGGAGCACAAGTTTGACAAGATTCTGATAGGAATTTCATGGAATAAGGGAAAAATTGCATTTATTCACACGGATCATCGACAAGCTATTAACTTGAAATCTGCTTTAAACTCGAAATCCCTTTAGACGAAAGTGTGGCTGTGAATAAATGTAATTTAAAGTAGAGTTTAGATGTTGAAGTGTGTGTTTTAACTAGACTCTGGTTTTAACTAGACTCTGGTTTTATCTAGCATCTGAACTGATTTCTAGCTTTGTAACTTTGTAACTTTGTAAAAACTTGAGTTGACATCAAAAAAATCGTCATTTTAGTTTAATTTCTTAAAGGAAGCAATTTGTCTCAAAGTTGACCTTCCAGATTCCGTGGCGAGTCTCGGAGTTTGGGGACTCTTCTGTTTTACTCTATATCTCGACTTCCAGTAATCAGATCGACTTGGAGTTGGTTTTAAAATGATCCTTATGAAATTTGGTTATAGAAATGTAGAATTTATTTGGTACACTCAGGTATAAGAACATAGAGAAAATCTGTGTCAAAGTTGACCTTCCAAATTCCATGGCGAGTCTCGGAGTTTGGGGACTCTTCTATTTTACCCTATATCTCGACTTCTAGTAGTCAGATAGACTTAAGGTTGGTTTCAAAATGATCCTCATTAAATTTGATTATAAAAAAGCAGAATTTGTTTTGTACACTCATGTATAAAAATATAGAGAAAAGTTGTGCCAAAGTTGAGCTACCTACCTGGAAAAGTTGATCAACTGGGATGGTCTATAACTCGAGGTATAGAAGCTGAATAGACGTTTGGGTGCTTTTAATAGAATCCTCATGAAATTTCGTTATAGAAAAGTAGAATTTATTTGGTACACTCAGGTATAAAAAGATAGAGAAAATCTGTGTCAAAGTTGGACTACCTACTTGGAAAAGTTGATCAACTTTGACGGTCTATAACTCCAGGTATTGCTTTCTCCAAGAAAGCAAGAGTCAAAGCTTGAAGAAAAGTTCTAGAAGATAAAAATAGAAAGAAAAGAAAGAATTTAAAGAGCTAGCTAGCTAGCTAGCCGGCTATAAATAAAAAGCTTTTGAACTGAAGTTTTAAAAGCTAGACTAAGCTAAGCTAAACTAAGCTAAGGTAAACTTTACATCAATTTACTCTGGCCAAAGGGCCAAAGGCCAATCGTCTAAAGGGATTTTATATTCAAAACAGTTTTCAATTCAAAACAGTTTTGCTAATTAGTTAACGAAAATCAATATTAAAATACCAAATTTCAATTCAAAATTTTCACAAAACCCACTTTCACACCAGCTACTCGAGATCATCGAAAGTAGAAGTAGAAACGTGGCCAAAAGTCTTCTATTCATCGCGTTCAAAATGAAATCTGCAAAATTTTGTAGTCAAAAAAACTGAATGAAGATTCTTGAGGAAAAAAATATTGCAGAATGGCAAAGAATTGCACACACGCGTTTTTATGAGCAAATATCTCACCCCATTCAATCAAAGATGGGGAAATGATCGGATTGAAAAGGAAAAAAAAACGAACTTGAGCAATGTTTTGTTGATCAAGAAATCGGGGAAACTAGCAAATTTGAAAGAAGTACTGAAAAAAATGGAAAAATCAACAAATTCAGTTGGCTTTTTTCACTTTAAAGGTGTTTGCTGCTGGAAAAGATCTGAGGGGCGAGAAACAGTTGGTTTAAATTGGTTTAAATTGGTTTAAATTGGTTTAAATTAGTTTAAATTAGTTTAAATTAGTTTAAATTAGTTTAAATTAGTTTAAATTAGTTTAAATTGAGAAGACAGTTGGGCTACGGTAGTTTTATTCCAAGCGAATCTTGTGAAGCTTTTTTGAAACACTTTACCGTATTTTAGAATTAAACTGATGAAGGAAAAACCTCAGTTCAACTTTGGTCCAACTTTGCTCCAACCTCGTCTTTGCTCAAACTTTGCTCCAACCTCCAACCTCGACACAACCTCGACCCAACTTTGCTCAAACCTCGCCCCAACTTCGACCTAACTTGGCTCCAACCTTGTCCCAACCTTGCCTCAACTTTGCTCCAACCTCGCCCCAACTTCGACCTAACTTTGCTCCAACCTCGACCTAACTTTGCTCCAACCTCGCCCCAACCTTGTCCCAACCTTGCTTCAACTTTGCTCCAACCTCGCCCCAACTTCGACCTAACTTTGCTCCAACCTCGACCTAACTTTGCTCCAACCTCGCCCCAACCTTGTCCCAACCTTGCTTCAACTTTGCTCCAACCTCGACCCAACTTTGTCCCAACCTTGTCCCAATCGATTTAACTAATAAAGTAAAGTAAGGAATCGCAAAGAAGGATTTCTGGAGGGGATTGAACCCTCAACCTTTTGTTTCGGGGCAGATGTTCTAACCACTGACCTATCGCCATCTTCTTTCCATAGAAGAAAGAGGAAATACAAGGGGGAAGAGAAAGGAAGAAAGAAAAAAGAGAACTAAAACTTGTATGTACAAGCATTATCCCTTACAATTAGGCAGTTTACCTAAATGAGCTTACAATTAGCTTTAGCAGCAGTCTGGATTTGTAGAAGCCTGTTAAAAAAGTTTTATCTGTCGCATTCTGTCCTTCACTTCCTTTGCCACAACATTTTTACAAGGTTCGTCAAAGGAACAAGGAATTTTTTTCCGACAACATCTCAAACATTGTATGTTTGCATAAAGATTTTTTGCTTTTTTTACTTGTCTCAAAGAATGAAAAGTCTAGAACGATAGACAAAGGAATTCAATAGAATTTGTTAATATAAATGCAAGTAATATAAAAGCGACATAAACTGAATAAAGTGTTCAAACTTTTTACGGTAAAACTTTTCCAATTTGACGTCTTTTTGGACTCTGGATTTTGTCATTACTCCGTTTGTTTCTCCGTTTTAGTGATGAGAGAGTCCTGGATTTTGAGTGTCTTTGAAGCGTTTGGCAGGTCACTTTTGAGTACCTAATAATATAGTTTGCTTGAGTTTTTTTGAGAAATGTGGGAAAATGAGTGCACTGGACAATCGGTGATCTTTCGTGAACTTGAATGGAGCTCAGAGGGAGGCTTTTACTTTAAACGCTTTAGGCTTTAGACGCTTTAGACACTTTAGACGCTTATAACTCCTGGCAGATTATCATTTAGCAAAAACGGAATACATTTTCGGATTCAGCATAAAATTCTTCGTCGAATGGTACAGGTCGAATGGCATTTGGCTGGCTCAATCAGTTGATCTTTGTTAAAACTTGCAAAAGTGATTTGCAAGAGAAATGCTTGGGTTATGTAATGAAAAAAAAACCGTATTTCATTTTGTAGACTTATTCAATTAGAAAATGAATCTAGGTGGAAGAATTAGCAACCAAATAACTATATCTATGGTAACTCTACTTCTTCCAGGCCTGAGGAATCTAGACTCTGGTTTTATCTGGAATCTGAACTGATTTCCAGCTTGGCTTTGTTCTGATTACTCCTTGATTACCGATCAATCGCCATCAACTGTTCATCAGTTCAGAGGGAGGCCTTTACTTTAGACGCTTTAGACTTTAGACATTCGACGCTTTAGACTTTAGACGCTTATAAATCCTGGCAGCTTGTCATTTAGCAAAAACCGAATACAGATTCGGAATCAGCATCAAATTCTGCGTCGAATGGTGTAGATCGTATAGCATTTGGCTGACTCAATCAGTTGATTTGACCAGCTCAATCAGTTTCCCTTGTTAGCTGATCAAAAAGCTGTTTGGCTTAGCCTGAATCTAGTCTGATTCAAGTTTGACTTGATTTTTACCAATTTTACTATTTAACAGATCCCATGGCCCCAAACCAGGCCAAATTAATCTTATCTGGCTATTTGGCTGGCTCAGTCAGTTGATCTTTGTTAAAACTTTCAGTTAAACTCTGGATTTTGTCATTTCTCTTTTTTAGTGATGAGAGAGTCCTGGATTTTGAGTGTTCTGAGTGTTTTTGAAGCGTTTGGCAGGTCACTTTTGAGTACCCAATAGTTTGCTTGAGTTTTTTGAGAAATGAGTGCTTTGGACAATCGGTAATCTTTCGTGAACTTGAATGGGGCAAAGAGCAGTTCATCTTAACTCATCTGTTTTTCTAAAGTGTTCCCTCTTTCTCTCTAAAGCTCTTTCTACCGTAATCTTGTCTCTTTCCTTATACTTTCCGTATCTTTTGATCGCTTTTCTGAATTCTCAAATGAATTGCACAAAAAAATAGAGAAAAGATTACGATTTTAGAAACCGAATTCATTAGATGCTTTAGACTTTAGACGCTTTAGACGCTTATAACTCCTGGCAGCTTGTCATTTAGCAGTGACAACATTGCAAATGCGCGCCTGGGACACATGAGCCGAACTATGAACGCAACATTAACAACCAGAACCGCAACTTCACGCGGCAAAAGCAACTTCTACGTTGCGAGGCTGTTCATCAAACAAAATGACGCAGAAGGAGACGGAATCAGCATCAAATTCTGCGTCGAATGGTATGGGTCGAATGGCATTTGCTCAGCTTCGCTGGTTAGCTGATCAAAAAGCTGTTTGTTTTAGCCTGAATCTAGTCTGATTCTAGTTTGACTTGATTTTTAACAATTCTGACCTCGGGTTAAAAATCAACAAAGATGGGCTAATCTGTATGCAACGCAGAATTTTGAAAGTTTCGACTAGATCAATGATTGATTGACTAGATCAATGACAAAGATTAACGATTGATTGACTAGATCAATAACAAAGATTAATGATTGATTGACTAGATCGATAACAAAGATCAATGATTAATTGACTAGATCAATGACAAAGATCAATGATTAATTGACTAGATCAATGGCAAAGATCAATGGTTGATTGGCTAGATCAATAACAAAGATCAATGATTGTTTGACTAGATCAATGACAAAGATCAATGGTTGATTAACTAGATCAATGATTGATTAACTCTTTGCTAAGCCGGAGAATCTGAACGTGCGGATAATTGTGCGAGTAATTGTGCGCCACTCTGTCCTTTTAATTGTTGATCTTTGCATCTTTTTTCCTTCTGTTCTGCAATTTTCCATCAAAAGCAATATTTTATAAATGAAAATATTTATTCGGATGTGAAAAAGAAAGAAAAAAAAGTAATATTTATTAGATATAGAAGATTTGTTGATTATTATTTAATAAGTTATGAATGTGTGCTGAAAGTGGGACGGGTTATTCGTTTTTAAAAGAAGATTTAGATTGTTGGATAGCATTGTGATATACAGTAAGCATTTTTCTTTGTTTAGCACTGGGATTTGATGTGAAGAGTGAATTGATAAAAAGAGTAATACAAAAATGCATTATCAAAAAAAGGAAAAACGAAGAGGCACCGGCAGTTTATTAGAGAAAAAGAGGTGGGGGAGAGGTCTGGGTTTGGCGCAATCGGTTAGTGATTGGATTTCCAGGCAAGGCTAGGTTTCGAGGAGCCTGGTTCAATCCCTGTCACTAGCTTTTTGCCATCAAACCGAAACTTTTACAAAAAATAGTTGCTTAAAGTCGGAAATAGTTGCTCAAAGTCGTTCTTTAAACAACGATTAACTGGTCTCGGTTTAGCGCAATCGGTTAGCAGCTAGGTTTCCAGGCAAGGTCTAGGTTAGCAGCTAGGTTTCCAGGCAAGGCTCTGTCCTCCAGGACCCTGGTTCAATCGCTTTTACTACCTTTTTGCCATCAAACCAAAACTTTTACAAAAAGCAAGTAAACAGTTGCTCAAAGTCGTCCTTTAAACAACGATTTACTGGTCTCGGTTTGGTGCAATCGGTTAGCAGCTAGGTTTCCAGGAAGGCTAGGTTTCCAGACAAGGCTAGGTTTCCAGGCAAGGCTAGGTTTCCAGACAAGGCTAGGTTTCCAGGCAAGGCTAGGTTTCCAGGCAAGGCTAGATTTCCAGGAAAGGCTAGGTTTCCAGGGAAGGCTAGGTTTTCAGGGAAGGCTAGGTTTCCAGGCAAGGCTCGGTCCTCCAGAACCTTGGTTCAATCCCTTTTACTACCTTTTTGCCACCAAACCAAAACTTTTACAAAAAATATTTGTTTAAAGTCGTCAATAGTTGTTTAAAGTTAAACAGTTGCTTAAAGTCGTCCTTTGAACAACGATTTTTACATAATTCTATTTAAATAAGTTATGAAAGTTACAAAAACATGAAATAGATAGAGATTTGCAAAGAGAAAGAGTAAATAACTTACAAAATAACAAGAAAAGACTGTGAAAATGAGAAAAAAATCGATTTAACTATAGATGAAAACTTCGTGGCGCAGTTGATTTGAGTTAAGATTTGGGTACCAGTTCGATTTGGTTCCAAAAGATTTTGGTACCAATTCAAAGACAAAATTTCGAGTCCACTTTTCGCCAGAAG